TTTTCGTCGTAGTGTGTTATTTCAAATGCTTTCAGTTAATAGAAAGAAGCAATATTATGGTGATGATGATCGTGACTATTAAAGGTAGACACAGAGTAGTTTTTCTGTACGTTCAAATATGATAACAGCAAAATGAGCTCTTTCGCGTATGAGAAATGGCGCGATAATTAGTTAATCAATTGATCTCGATAAACTTAGACACAAACTAACTATCACACAGAAATCATGCGTGAAATCGTTCATATACAAGTTGGTCAATGTGGAAAGTTCGTTAGACAAAAATTTTCTTTTTCTCCGACTTCTGTTTAATCGTTTAGTCAAATGGGTACAAAGTTTTGGGAAGTCATTTCTGATGAGCACGGTATTGATCCAACAGGCACTTATCATGGAGATTCGGATCTGCAACTAGAGCGTATTAATGTCTATTACAACGAAGCTACCGGTTAGTTTGAACGAGAACGAAAAATGTCATGTGACTTTGTGTATTTCAGGTGGTAAATATGTACCACGTTGTATTCTTGTTGATTTGGAGCCTGGCACGATGGATGCCGTTCGTGCTGGTCCTTACGGTCAATTATTTCGTCCAGATAATTTCGTCTTTGGTCAATCAGGTGCTGGAAATAATTGGGCCAAAGGTCATTATACCGAAGGAGCAGAAATCGTCGATTCGGTTCTCGATGTTGTTCGTAAGGAAGCTGAAGCATGCGATTGTTTACAAGGTTTTCAACTGATACACTCACTGGGTGGTGGTTGTGGTTCAGGACTCGGAACATTATTGATCGCGAAAATACGTGAAGAATATCCGGATCGTATTATGTTAACTTACTCAGTGGTTCCATCGCCGAAAGTATCGGATACAGGTAAAACGTCATTCTTCCAATGAAGATATCACTGTGTTGAATTGTTTTCAGTCATTGAACCGTATAATTGTGTTCTGTCAGCACATCAATTGTTGGAAAACTCGGATGAAACGTTCTGTATTGACAATGAAGCACTGTATGATATTTGCTTTCGAACGCTGAAACTAACTACACCGACATTTGGCGATCTTAACCATCTAGCTGTGACAGCACTTTGTGGAGCAACAACCTGCTTACGTTTCCCAGGTTTGTTCACACATTAAGTTCTCGAAAACAGAGCAATGTGTATAATCATAGGTCAATTAAATGCTGATCTTCGAAAACTAGCAACGAATATGGTACCTTTTCCTCGTCTTCATTTCTTCATCCCAGGCTTTGCACCTTTAACGTCACGTGGCAATCAGCCGTATCGAGCTGTCACTGTTCCAGAACTCATGCAACAAATCTTCGACGCACAAAACCTCATGGCAGCTTGTGATCCACGTCACGGAAAATATGTAAAAATACTTTCAAGAGTATTTTTGATTGTGATCCGTTCTTTTCGAATAGTTAACTGCTGCAGTTGTCTTTCGTGGCCGAATGTCAATGCGCGAAGTCGAAGAACAAATGTTGAATGTGAAAGAAAAGAATAATTCGTATTTTGCCGAATGGATTCCCGATAATTTGAAAACAGCTGTTTGCGATATTCCACCGCGTGGCTTGAAGATGTCCGCAACGTTCATCGGTTGGTTTTTTAATCTGTAAAACTAAAGATCAATGCAGAAGTTTCCGTTTATTTAGCAAACACGACTGCGATGATTGATTTATGGAAACGTGTAGCCGAACAATTCACGGCAATGTTTCGACGTAAAGCTTTTCTTCATTGGTACACTGGCGAAGGAATGGACGAAATCGTACGTTGAATTTAAAACGAAATATCTATTGTATATTTTTCTCCATAGGAATTCACCGAAGCAGAATCGAATATGAATGATCTTGTCAGCGAGTATCAGCAGTACCAAGAAGCAGTTATCGATGCTGAAGGTGATGAAGAAAACGACGAAGATGTTGGAGATTTAGAAACGAAATAACTGACGATTATCTCCAGATGAATTTCACTGTTCTTCTTTTATAAAATGTGCAAATCTGATAGGAATGCAAAGAATAAAAATTGACATAATAAACGAACAAGCTCATTCATTCTTTGTCGTTACTTTTTTCGATATTTTTTCTCACTCATCATAACAACCGCAGTCGTGCTTGCCGATGACAATGTTTCTTGTTTTGTATACTTGTTTACAGACCGGT